AACACACACACACACACACACACACACACACACACACACACACACACAGCTGTAGGGTTGCTTTTGGCAGGGAAACATGAAAATACCACTGTATTAGGTTCTAACCTGGATGACTGCCCCTGAGGCCGGTCCCACCTCTCACTCCTTTGTGTGTGTGTGTGTGTGTGTGTGTGTGTGTGTGTGTGTGTGTGTGTGTGTGTGTGTGTGTGTGTGTGTGTGTGTGTGTGTGTGTGTGTGTGTGTGTGTGTTAATAACAAAATATTAAAATGGAGGTCATGACTTCCAGTCTTACTGTTTACACATAAAGTAGCTCCGAATGAAATTTCTGAGAATTTTCTGAAGTTCAAATAATGTTTTGCTACTGCAGTTACCTTTGATCAATAATGTTATGAACCAAGGCAGCTATACCATGCATGCAATTAGCATAGAGTCTGACATGCAATGATATGTCATAATCTACAGATGTTGATTGCAACCTGCCAAATAACAGTTGTGGGTCTTTTCTAGTCACAACAGCATCTAAAGTTAGAGTATAAATCACACAATTGAAGCCGAAAGTGACAGCTGTGCTGCAGCACTTAATGTAAGACAGGATAAAAAAGCAACAAGTGATGACAAATACACATCTAGTTACAAAATAAAAGTTGACACTGTTAGGAGACGACAGCTGCACTAACTATTTGGTGAAGGTTCAAAACACCAACAGGACAAAAAGTCTCCTATCTAAAAAATATAAAGGGTTAGTCTGAACTAAAGCAGAGTTAAAGCTCCAACATAGTTTTACAATTGTTAGAAATGATAATTGTTTTATTATTTATAGAGACAAATCTAAAGTGCATCTCAATCTTAAAGAAAGTCTCCAAATTATTATCAATTTTTTTTACTTTCACGATAAAATCACCAGATTCTAATTATACACTGCTTCTCATTGTGTTTCAAACCCACACAAGGCCTTAAAGAAACACTTTTTTGTTATAAACACATAGTAAAGTTTTATTAGTTTGGTTACTTTTGAACTTAAAGAGAGAAACTCACTGCAGCACATATAACTGAGCTGTTTACTCTTGCCATCTGTCAAACTAATCCAAACGGAGGGAACTCCCTGTGATGATGTTGCCAGGAAATGATTGGTTTAGTGCACTCACTCAATGAAAAGATGGCCATTAACATCAGAGAAGAATTGTTCCTCACAAGCAGTCAGTGAAACTCATAGTTTTAAAGATGAGATGGTATTTTCTTCAACACTGCACTCTGCTTATTGTTCTCACAGAGTTTTCAAACCTCCTTTATGTCCTGTTTCTAATATCACATCAGTTTGTTTTTATCTGTGATCTCCTATGATCTTTAGTTGCACAAAGGCTATGAGTGGCTGTGATAGTTGCTATTGAGACAGACTGGTTGTTATATGCTGCACAGCCTAATCGTTTTAATCCCCTGCAGTCTTACAAAAAATATACTGTGCTCAGAAGTTATCTTTATGTGTGTGTGTGTGTGTGTTTTTTGCATTACCAGGCGGCTTATGCGGAATATGAGAGCTTAGTTCCCTTGTTTGATTGACTGCTGCTGATTAGCTTGAATTTCCGCGTGCAGAGGTGAACCTCAAGCTGATAGGGCCTCCGCAGCTTTCACTCATCCATTTATCATTGTGGATGTGTGTGGGCACAGTGTAACTGTATGTGTGTGTATGCATGTACAAGAGTGCTTTGACAGAATGTCTTAGCGGAATTCCCCCCAAGGTTTCTTCTGCCGTGTTTGTTCAAATATGTACTTATTTTGTTCTTATAGCATTCAATAGTTTTTTTTGGGGGGGGAACATTGTGTTCTTGTAGCAAAGGAAATACACATGTATGCATATTTACACAAACAACAAAGTAAACAATACCCGGCCAACAATACCTTTAGTTTAAAGTTTCAGGATTTTCCATTTGATTTATTTATTTTTAGGACCAAGTACAGGGATGCTTGCATTATAAGTCACAATCAAAAACAGAAACTGTCAGCAGTCCTTCCTAATTAGCTACAATATACTATTTAGATGTTGTATTATCTACATATATGGACACATGTCTTTCAAAGTGTAATTCCCTGGTACACTTAGGCTACACAGTTTTTCAAAATTCCAAGACCAAGATCCAGAGAAAGGTGTTGCACAACATTCGTTGTCTGAATGTGTGAAATACTTTTGAGATTTGAGTGCACTGTTATCTTTGTTTTGACCCTGTTAACTTTAAGATGAACTAAAGCTAAGCAGAAGTAGTACTCCCACAGTATATTCTACACACTCGCATGCATTCGTGCATTCTCAGCTCACAGAATAACGAAGTTCAGGTACACAAACACAATAACTTTTAGAAAGGCCTCCTGGCCTCTTTCTGATTCCTCTTCTTCTTTCTTCCAGTAGCCTACTCTTATCTGTTGCCTTCCTCTCTTATCAGTCTTTGCCTCGCTACGTATCACTCCATCGCTCCAGATCCTCCTCTTTCAATCTACCCCTTTCTCATTTCTTTCTTTATCTCCCCCCCCATCTGTTTCAGCTGTTTTTAATCAAAAGCTTTTTCACCCTGTCGGCTCTACGAACAAATATAATGCGGCAAACATTTTCACAGACACGCACGTCAACACATCTACCTGCACAAGGACAATACTTTTAGTCACCCTTTCTGAACCAACAGAACTTTACCATCTATCATGGATACACTTAAAAGATTGACATTCACACTACTGTAAATAAAAGTGACAAAAAGAACTAAAGGAATAAGTATATACACACATATATAAATCAGAGTTCCCGTTAGCCGGTAATTACCGGACTATGACCGGCAAAATATGCTGAAGACCGGCAAATCTGAATCTCTCCGGTCAAAGTGTCCGGTCAAAATAATTTCCGTTTAGCGCAATACCGCATCAGTTGCGCAACTTGCGCCACTTATGTGACAGACAAAAGAATATGTTAGTATACTAGTTATAGATATGTTTAGTTTTACTGTCAGGTCACTCATTACTGGATCCGCGAGCTGCATGATACTGACGGGCTGTCAGGAGAGGGAGAGAGCGCTCCGTTTATTATTCCCGTGTTATTGTAAGTTACTGTACACTTTTGAATAGTTAATCTACTATAATTAGTTTGTTTAATATCGAATCATATCAATTTGTTTTAAAGCTCAATAAATAACAAAGAAGACCTTTGACCGGCACTTTTCAAATGTTGTCCGGAAGATTTGAACTTTAACGGACATGTTGACCGGCGAAAAAATATTCGAACGGGAACTCTGATATAAATGCAGACAAGTAATATATGATTGGCCGTGTTAACAAAAGCATGTATGTTCTCATGCTGAGCTAAGCTAGGCGTTGGTGCTATCAGGCAGTGTGATGTCATGGTCCTTGACTGTGTCTGAAAACTCAAGGTGGCCTTGCCTCTAAAAACATACACACACACACACACACACACACACACACACACACACACACACACACACACACACACACACACACACAGTACATACACAAGGTCCATTTATTAACAGAGCTTTTGATCATATCAATAAATAAACATATTATATCACACCACCTCTTACATTTAAACTGACACTTAATGGCAGATATTACAGTATTGTTTCTCTGTGTTTTAAATTACATACTGTATATTTGCTCTTGGGATGTGTAGAGGGCCATCACCCTGGTCACTCCATCCAGCGACCTTTGATTAATTGGAATCAATGAGTCACTCTCAGGCCACCCGACATGGAAGTACTCTCCACCCGCCCACCCAGGCCGACAGACACAATTACAGGATCTCCCTTCCAAGGGAATCCCCAAATAAACAATGTCATCTCACTCACACACACACACACACACACACACACANGATAAGATGGAGGAAGTACTCTCCACCCGCCCACCCAGGCCGACAGACACAATTACAGGATCTCCCTTCCAAGGGAATCCCCAAATAAACAATGTCATCTCACACACACACACACACACACACACACACACACACACACACACACTTTCCAAGCAAGGAACGGCATGAGCCAAACTTACCCCACCCCGAAACATTTGGCCGACAATGTTTT